GATGGAGTTCTATGATGTAATGGTAAAGATATGGGGAGGATCGCCGTCAACGGAACCTTAGAGCTTTGGTGGTCAATCAAGTGTACTACATGACCATGAGAAATAACTTGGCGAAGAAAACGCGAGCGACACCACCAGTAACCTGTCATTTGAAGCTGATCAGTCCCCACAAGGTGGAGAAACCTCTTCAGACCAGTCGAGAAGTCTGAAACGGCCAAGGTCCTCAAGTCCCTTTGTGCAATTAATCGATAACGAGAGGAAACACATGGAGCGACAATTGTCGCTAGCAAAGCGAGATCAAATTCTTATAGATGAGGCAAGAGAAGTCAAGAAAAGAATTAGCTGCGAGTATGTTACAGTCAAATCAATTTTTTCTCAGTCCATGCAGGCAGTAAGTTCCTCAATGATGTGCATAGCTCAAACCATGAGTCGTTCATTTGAGATGTTAGCACATGCTCTTGCATTACCTGAGCAAGGCATGACTCAGCCGTCTTACACAGCTGTGCCTTTCATGTCACAACCACAAGGTAACATGAAGGCCACATGGGAATGATAGGTCAATCCAGTCATCACTCACAGTTGAGGCAAGATGATGGTGACAGCAATCATTTTACCTTTTAATGTTTTGAGAATATTACAAATACTGATGTTTATTTGCCTAACTATTTGACTTTACATTATATGAGTTTGTAATAACAGACAGCATTTTTTTATGTCCAAAAAGTGTTCAGGCCACTTTTTGGACATCCCACGAGAGCCTATGGCACAGATATTCAGAAAAGACCTCGCGGGGACAAATCACGACCATATGCTTCACTACAAAGTGGATTTGGATGCTGATGGAAGAAAGAACTATTTTGAAAACGTCGAGTTTAATATCGAGAACATTACAAACCACTAGATACCAGGAGCAAGAAGGATCCAAAAAGTCCTGAATCTCACTTTAAAGAAAACCGAACAAAAAGTTATTTATCAGCCCAGTTTTGACCATTCCAAGTAAATGAACTTCTTTACTGAGGACAATACTAAAAACATAGGCGTGAATCGAGGGTACCGTATCGACATCCGAGCCATGATGAAACAGTTGTACCCAAAGGACTGGGGATTAGTAACAGGAACCGCTTAGGGCTTGAACCAAATGACTGTCACTAAGCGAAAAGAAACCGAAAAACAAGCTCATCATTTTACGATCACTTCAGTATGTACGATCCTGTTGTCGACTTTCAACGCTTCGCTGCCGACAATGAATCGATCGTAGACGAAGATCTAGTTACCTGAGTGCATCGCGCAGAATGCCTATTGTTCTTGAGACATTTACTTGCAGTAGTGAAAAAACTATAGATCCGTAATTTTAGCGGCGAAACGTATTTTAGAGGGTTATCATTGGTCAAAGATCACTCGCGCATTCTTTCTCGAGGAATATTGGTTTAGCTCATTAACTTTTCAAGGCGGAGGTAAGAAGCAATAGCTTATAAAACTATTGTTTAAGCTGTTGTTATAAAAAAGTCACACATTACGTGCGTGTGTTACAAGCTAGAATAGTGCTGTATTTTGAAACGGTTCGTTACATATTCATCGCTTCCTCTATCTTACTCAACAAACACGTTCGTTCTATCATTTCCCGTTTAGGATTCGATTTTCGTCGGGAAAAACCACTCGCAATATTTTCCTATAATGGAAAGGACGTAATGGGTCACTTCAAGTCACTCTGACACTTTCTTCTTCTAAACGAAATACAGCCACACACTGTGTTAAGAATGAACTTACGCATCGATAAGTACGACTGCCTAAATATGTCTTATTCGTTACTTGTGTGGGAGGCCGAGGAAGCTTCACCGCTCATTTGAATTACATATACTGGATTGCTTTCGTCAACAAAAGCTGGAACCACCTGTATAAGAATAGGGTGAATCGGGGATTCTGTGAGCTCATTTTTCTCATCATCGCTTGGTCTAGTGGTATAACTCAGCTGATGCACAAAGATCAAAGCGGTAAATTGTTTATATTCTAAATGAGTGGTTTTCTTGAATAGGCCATTGTTTGGTTTGACAGCCATTGTTATTCAAGCGTGGGCTGAAAACAATGGAGTAGAACTCGAAACGCGCAATTTCGTAAGAAACTTCGACAGGATATTTTAAGGCTGTGAGAAATAGTGGTTGTCGTTCACTAATTTTCAAAGTCAAAACGGATTCTGTTTCAGGAAAGCTCCTACTTACATTTCCCGCTCTTGGTTTTTTGGAAGCCGGTTTTAGTTTTTAAAAAACCGCTTTTGAAATCGGCCATCATACTAAAAATGTTCGTTTTTTCGTTATTTTCAAAGACCAAACATCCCATTTTTAACTTAAATTAAAGATAAACCCTTACTATTCAAAAAACTACTCTTAGGTTTCTCATTTATTGCTTTTGGCTATTGGGAAAACGATTTTTATCAATGTTGCTTCGCTAGTTTCGGCCCATTCTTCTCTTATTCTCGGCTTTTCACAGCGCGATTGCATTCAAATCTCCCGCTTCAGTGCTCATGAATAATTGATGATGTCCAGGCATTCTGCGCGATGGACTACAGGTCTTATGTATATGCTTCATTCCGAAGATATTCCGAACACCGCGACGGCTGCTAACCCTGCCAGTTTCTACCTCCGGCCGTACAACTTCTTTGATGAAGATCCCTCGATGGCTTCCCATGATGCTGTGTTCATTTCACCAACTGAAAATGGCGAGTTCGACATTAATCCATTTGGAACTCCCGAGGGACCTGCGTGCGCAGCGAAAAGTAAGCCACTGAGGTGTAAAGGTGGTTCACAAAGAAAACCACGACAACAGCAGTGACAACAAAGTCGCTAAAGAAAAGATTTAATGAGCAGAACAATGGCGTGCCCAGGTGATATGATATTTGTAAATTTCTTTGTCCTCTGCAAAACAACAATCTAAAATGACGAAACTTTTTTTAGTCGGGGAATGTAAACGGCGACGGCTAATTTTTTTCAACTCTCTGTTTCAAATTTAACGCTTTGTTCCCTTTTATATTTCGAGTAAGTTTTGACAGTGAGAAACAAACAAAATGACTTTTGAACATTGCGAGATTTGTAGATAAAATAAAAGTTAATTTGTCATTTTATTTTTACCGACGTTGTGCACGGTATCGTCGTCGTCGTTTCTTAAGCTCCCTTACGACACTTACGGAGGAACGGCGCATTGATATAGCTTTTAGACTTGTTTGATTCATTTGTCGCACATTATTTGGTACTTTTAACCCCAGCCTGTTCTTAGAAGTCTGTTCTTAGGACCTGTTTCTCGAAAACTCCCCTATTCACGGGTCAAGAGAAGCTGATTTCGTAAGTCGCGTTTTCATTCAAGATCGTTCCATGAATAACTTTGAAATTCAAAGAATATAGATCTAAGGAAGTGAAACAGATTAGACCGAAAGATCTCTTGGTTAGACTGATTTTTGAGCTTAGACCCACACTTACATCTTTAGACTATAATTTTACAGGCTCCAAAAGTAGAAAATAAAGAAGGCGGAAGCTTGGATCAGGTTGCCTGTTCGATCTGTCCCAAGCCTCCTGTGAGATCTAGGCGTTTGGTAATTATTTCTTGTGTAATTCGTATTTATTTATTTCGTCCTTTATTTTATCATACCTCTTAGTTAGTGCTTTTTGTTAAGTTTGTTAATGTTTTTCTTTCTCGGTTTCACCTTTTTTGCGCGTTTTTCATACTGCAAGTTAGTTTGTCGCATAATTTCCTTCTTCTAAGTCAATGTATCCACAGTCGCGCTTGCCGCAGTTCTCTGTTTTGGAAGAATTCCAACTATTCGCTATTGCAGTTTTTATATTAGGCATTATCATCAATTTAGTTATTTTTTCCCCCTTTCGCTTGGTTTGTATTCTTTTTTCTGTAGTAGTTTGTTTATCTTATTTAACTTAACTTGTATTGGTGTTTTTAGTTTCAACTTACTCTACAACCACTACCGCTGGTATGAATAAACATAAAGTTGAAAAGGTCACGCTTTCGTAGTTATACCTCCTCCTACAATCCGACCTCTTTTTCAAACTGAAAGATTGAAAACAAGCTTTTCTGATGTGAATCACCTCTTTGTGGCGGCCCAGTTAAAGAAATTTTTATTCTTCATCTTGTAGAAAAAATTTATTTCCCAGCACGTTAATGATCATATATGCATATTCCAGCTCAAAGATATCTATCCAAATAAACTGATGCTCACCCGATGCATATTTTTGCCCAAGGACTTTTTTTATGACGTTATGTGTCCATGACTAAAAAAAGGAAATAACCCGTTAAGATCTAGAAGCTTTGTTCTCCTTTAATTAAGAAATCGATTTATGTTGGATCTTCTTATTTTAAAACCATGCATTTCATAAATGACGGCGGCTAGGAAGTTTATCTCGAGTTCCTGTGAATATGGATTACACTTAGAGAGCAACTGTAATTTGATTTCCTTCCGTTACAAAGGGAACTTGAACTTGAACTTTATTTTTAATTTGGTTTTAATTTGATTTTAATTTAATTGAATTCGTCTAACAAAAACAGTTAACAACAAATGAAAAAGAAAAAAAAGAAAAAACTGGTTGAATGACAGGGAAGAATAACAGGACATAAGTCCCAGTTGACAATTTTTACCTTTAAAAAATAAAATATAGACTTAAAGTCCTAAAATACAATGTAAATATCTATGGAGGGCGGTATGGAGATAACTTATTGAAGTACAAGAGATGTATTTGTCTTTTTAAAAGATATATTGTTAGCTAGTTTGATATCCATGGGTAGGGAGTACCAAAGTTTGACAGTTCTAGGAAAATATGATTGACGGTAATAGTCTTGACTGTGTTGAGAGATAGGTCTATAGTTCACAGAATCGAAGTTGCGCGTGATGTATCGAGACGTTGACTTTATTAACACGCTTTTTAAGAGATATTTGTCATTCCATTTCGGATCTTGTAAAGCAAAATCAGGTCACTGATCTCGCGTCTGAATTCAAGAGGCAGTAGTTAAAGTGTTACAAGTCGCTCTGTGTAAGAAATATCTGATGGTGGATAGTTAAGTATGAATTTTGTTGCTCGTCGTTGAAAATTCTCTATCAGGTTTATGTACTCAGCCATGTATGGTGACCACACGTTACTTGCGTATTCTAAATGGGGTCTAACCATTGAACCATACAGTAGCTTTCTTGTCTCAGTATCATAGATATCTCTACAAAAACGCTTTACAAGTCCCAGCAGTTTGTTGGCCTTTGTGCAAACTAGTTCAATGTGCGTTTTCCATGACAAATCCGTATGAACAGTTACACCTAAATCTTTTGCTTGGCTTGCGGGTTCAAGAGTATTACCAGATAGGTAGTATGTGTGTTCAGTAGGGTTCCGTTTCTTTGACATTTGAAGAACTTTGCATTTAGAGGTACTAAATTCCATTTCAAAGTCAATGCTCCAATTATGTATACCATCTATATCGGCTTGCAAATTGAGATGTGATAAGGAACTGTCGATACAGTGATAAAGTTTAGAGTCGTCAGCGAAAAGCGCAATTGTCGAGTCATTCTCTACATAGTTAGGCATATCGTTAGCATAGACAAGGAAAAGCAGGGGTCTCAGAATAGATCCTTGCAGAACGCCAGATGTTACAGGTAGCCAAGATGGAAATGAGCCATTATATACCACATGTTTTATTCTATTAGATAAGTACGACCTGAACCAATTCAAAAGGGACCCTGTTATTCAATAGACTTCAAGCCTTGACAGTAGACGCAGATGAGAAACCTTATCAAAAGCTTTGGAAAGGTCCAAGTGGACGACATGAATTTCGTTGCCACCGGCTAGCTTACCCAAGATGTCGTTGTAAACCTCTAACAATTGAGTGACTGTACTTCTTCCCTTGAGAAAGCCGTGCTGGAGATGGTAAAATAACTTCTCGTGATGTAAAAAGCAATGGCTATAAACACAACGTTCAAGGACCTTGGACAATATTGGAAGAAGGGAAACAAGTCTGTAGTTGTCAGGGAGAGTTTTATATAGACAAGGTAAATCTATCAGATAGAATAATAATAGTATTACAATCTATTATTACATTTACATTCTACTTTAATCTATATAAACATGATCTAAAATTTAAAAGTGAAATAGAAAAAATAAAGAAATTCTTGTTTACATATATGCCGTGCGCGTTTTGTCGAATTCAGACGAAGAAATCACGACAACCATTTCGAAAAGATTGAAGTGATTTTGCTTGCCGCAATTCAGGGTACAAGCTATTCCAGATAACCGCACCGTTATAGCTAAAGCTATTTTTTAGGAAGTTGGTGCGGGGAAATGGAACAGCTAGTTTGTTTTCAGAGTTCCTTAGAATATAAGGTAGATCATATTTAGTGAAAAGAGAACCAAGATAGTCGGGCGTAAGACCATGTATAGATTTATAGACCATGGTGGCCACTTGTATTTGTCGCTGAGTATCTAACCGTCTCCAGTTAAGTTGCTCAAAAAGAGGATCAGCCCTTGTGTCATAACTGGAGAAGGTCAGAATACGGGCAGCCCAGTTTTGCAACTTTTGGAGCTTATTCAGAAGACCCTTGTTACAATGCCCCACGACCTCGCTGCAGTAATTAAAGTACGAAGGACACGACGAGGAAAGATTGATCATCGACTGACACTTTTTTCAGAGGACGAGTTTACGAAAATAATGTAACAATTTACAAAGCAGAAAATACGTAATCAGAACAACATTTCTATATCTGCAAATTAATATTTATTCCATCACAAAAAGTATATATTTTCCCTGAACAAAAAGATATACTATATACTCAAAGGTAAATAGTGCTTTTCACGCTCAATGAGTGGCTGGTTGGTATGTGATATTAGCACGTACTTGTCACCTCCTAGCAGCCGAGGAGACAAATTCTCGCGTAAACTATTTAATTCCCCACCGTTTTTCGGTTTCTGTGTGGTATACACTAAAACGATTGTTCACCTCAGTGTCGGTAAAAGTGTTAATATCCACCTCCAATGATAATTGCAAGGATTAAAAACTGGATCATTGGATAATGCAATTCAAGACTTTTAATTGGCTTAGCCATTATGGTATATGAGCCAATATACCATAATCAACTAATATAGTAAGCGTACGCGTTAGCTTAAAATTAAAAGGGAGCTAAAAATTTGATAAAATGTAATCATTTAACTCAACGTTTGTAATAGAACAATTATTCTAGTAAAAAATATCTATCCCACTACAAAAGCGTCCATCAATAGAATTTTTCTCCGCGCAGATTTTTTTCCAATCAATTTTAAAATAACGCTTGAGTACCTTCCTAGAAGTACACATCATGGCCGCTACGCGCCTCGTTGGCTATCTATCATTTCATATCCGACGCGTGCTCGTGGAACAATTGTTACTTACCTTGAAATAAACAAGCGCGCTTTGCCGCGCGGGTGAGAAGGCTCTCAAGCATGACGTCATGTAAATTTTAAATGGGTTATATGTGGCATTGAGAGGAAGTCTTTGTCGGCCAATTTTGGTGAGCTAGCCGACGAATTGGTAATTTAGACGATTTCACAGGTATGTTGCTTGAAAAAGACGCTGTGAACCAGTCAACAGAGCCTTTCATCTATAACTCAATGAAAGCGTAAACAACATAACAGCGAAACGGGAAAATGCTTACTGTTCACCACGTGACGTAACCAACACTTAAATTTTGCGACAAAAATTTCTTAATTACTTCATTACGATGGCTTTTCCTCTGCCGGGATCATTGAATAAGTCATCAGAACAAAGACAAAAAACTCATTCATTGTCATTAAGATTAATTACGTGTTGCAAAGAGACTCTGAACAGGAAAACCAACTCTGAACAGGAAAAAGCTGACAAGCATTTTGATTAACTTTCTTTGTTGGTGTTCTCAAAGCCTTATTATTAACCCTACAACTTTGCGAAGAAGGACTGGCTTCTCCATTCTGTCTTCTATAAAGGTCCTAAGGTGCTGTCAAGGAGAATCTGTTGAACAATCAAAAGCTTATTTAGTTGGTGATCATTTCTTTTATTCTCATGACCTCAGTGTTAGACTCAGGGGTGATCAGTAAGTTCCATCTCACAATTTAATCATTGTTTTAGATCCAGGATTGTTTACCTCAATTTAAATCTAGTTCAGCGAGCTTAAAGCCTGAATTTTGGTCACTGGCATCTGAAAATGTGTTGCGTATGGCTTTCACAACACACGTTGGAATCACTCTCCTATTTTTCTACCCCAGGACACCGTGGACCAATGCCAGGCGCCACGTTCTATTAAAGAAGGGAAAACACACATGAATAAAAGGGAAAGAAGCAAAAACATCGACGGTAAAATGAAGGTAAAAGTAGTTACTACAAAGCGTTGGTAAATAAAATAAGGATGAAAGACTTTTGTAAAAGAAAATAATTGAAACTAACCCGTTCTCAATGGTGTCCTGGATAGGATTCACAGCATGCGTTGTGAATACCGATAAGTGCCGTACGCAACACATCAGTATAGAGGCAAACAATCTTGAGTTTGGAGTGCTCAGTTATACAAGAAAATCCTTTTGAAAGAAGAAATACAGCATGTGGTAGGCCACGGGAGTAAAAGTCTGACTCTCAAAGTTATTACACTGAACTAATGAAAACTAAGTAAACAAGAGAAGCTACACCGAGTAACATAGTACGTTATTACGGTAATGACTTACCGAGTTGTTTCACTAAGATTATGAAAACTGAAGTAAATAAGAGTGGCTCAACCGATCTACATAGTACATACAGTAAACACTACTTGTGCTTCAATACGAAGAAATAAATACTCAATCGCAAACATATGTGATTCATCAAACTCCTGATTCAAATCCTTAGGTTCTTGACAAAAAAAAAACATTCGTCGGCCGTGCCCATACCTATGCAACTACCGCCGCAAAAACTTACACCATTCTGCGTTTCCAATCTTCGAAGAATATTCCATCGGAGCTTCTGCTTTCATTTCTTCGTCTGAGCCGACTGGTTCTTCACCAGGATCATACGACGGCTCGAAATGAAAAGGCTGCACACCACTCATATTTGCGAAATGAAGGGTGAAGTGCTCTAAGCTTTGTACTTTGATATGAGGCCTTCTCAAGTTGGTTCCCACCAATGACGTAATATACGACCGCTGCTAATCCTTTTGAGCCGACGGTCTTACATCTGCAAAAGCGGGAAAAAGGCAACTTCAAATCAAATTTTCTCCAAAAAGACACGAAGAGAACGAAAATGAATATCGACACTTTATGTTATTCCTCTAAAGCTAACTAGAAATGATTGCCAAAAAAAAGAATCCCAATTTTAGGTTTCAGTTCCCATTTAAGCCTTTACACATTGAAGATCTAAATATTGATTCTCCACACTTACTGCCAATTGTATAAATTTATATAACTTATTGACTTGTTTAAGATATACTAAGTCCAGATCTGTTGCGAGTTGCACAGTGTTTTGCTGAGCCTTGTAGGGGGAGGGAAAAAATCAAATATAAAGTGTCAGCTTGTACTTTAATTGTTAAACCAGACACCGAATCGAAACATGGCGTCCAATTTGAATTGCCATTGTTCTGGACTCACTAGCCTCTCACACGTGTGATAATCCTTTATGTTTACACGTGAAGACGAGGCTAGTGAGTCTAGAACAATGGCAATTCAAATTGGATGCCATATTTGGATTAGGTGTATGGAGTAAAGGATTCAATATGTCAGTCTTATTTCATTTAGAAGTCTTTTCTTAATTCTTAATCAGCACAATACTTCCAATGGCCTTATCTTAGCATCTTATTGATTGCATTAAGCCTGCGCAAAAGATTAAAAACAACACATATCAATCCATAAAAGGATAACTCTGCATATTTTTAGGCAGGAAATGCCATGCCCATGTAATAAAAATCTTGTGACAAAATGCTGGAGCAGATCTTCTGGTCCCTTTTAGTAATTTTTTTTAACGTAAAATAATAAAAAGCTCAGTTTTGTAAGACGGTAAAAAGTCAATGGCTTTTTAATTATTTATATTGTTATTAGGACGCAACAATCCTCGGGCGAAAGTAGCAGTTCTGGATTTTGTCAAACCATCACCAATTGGCACTACCTGGGGTGAGTGTTAATTAAATCCTTTCATTTTCAGATCTAAATATCAATTCTCTCGATCAATCACTTAGTCAATCAGTCAATCAATTAGTCAATCAATCAATCTTTATTTAGCCACGGAATCCTTATCACTAACAAGTGGTCTTCAAAAGAGTCGTGCACATTAAACTAGTAAGACTTAAAAATTAACCTATAATAAATACTTAGACAGAAGAATCTTAATGTACAATGTACTAACCTATAATGTACAATGTATTAACCTATATTGTACAGTGTATTTACCTATAATAAAATCCTAGATAGAAGAAACTTAATGTACAATAGCTGAATAAAAACAATTCAAAGTAGTGGCCTGCTTAGCCTCAGCTGACAGGCTGTTCCATGTTACTGCGCCTCTATACCTAAAGCTTTACTTTAGGGCCTCAGTGTTCGGTCGCGGAATAAAGAGGTTATGTTGCGCA